TTTTTCCATTTTAGTGACAAAAGTCACACCCGGCCTTTACGTAAACATGGCCAAGGAGCCACTCTGTCTAAACTCACTTCCCTTGTAGGCGCCAGGACTTTCCTCTCTATGGCCCTGGTATGCTGGGTGAGGGGCAAACACACAGACCATACAAAAGAACAGTGCCACCCAACAACACCCACGCCTGCTGCTCTTGCTCTGGCTAACCTTTATCTCCCAACCTTCCCATAACATCTCCTGGGCAGCCTTTCACCCGTCACTGAAGCACACAGAAGGAGGGCACGCACTCGAAGCTTTCCACTGGTCTCCTGGGTCTGAGGCCCACATTGTCCTTGTCACGCCACCTCCTCCCAGCCCAACAGCCCAGACAGGCTCCCACAAACAACGTCACAAAGAATCCCGTGGAGAATGTTGCAAACACGCAACCTTCCCCTTGCTTGACCGCCCATCATCCCATAAACACATCTTGCATGTCCCACCCGGAGTCCCTTGCACCGGTGCCAGTGGACCACAGGCTTCAGTTTCTCATGCTCCTGCCGATGAGTAGACCTGACTTCCAGACATGCAGCCCCCATGGAACTTGCCCATCACAAACACACAAATGGACCACGCCTCAGTAGGACTACAGAAATGGAACTTGGGAATGATGCCTTCTGATTCAAAGGTCCACAACTGCACTCTTCAAATGGGTACATACACTCTGCATTCTGGTGTCCCCCATAACACGCGCTCGCGAGCACACACACACACACACACACACACACACACACACTACATGCAGCTATACAGAAAACAAACATTCATAAACATTCATATGTGCAACACAAGACTTATGTACAAGAAAACACATGCTGGCAAAAGTACACACACAACCCCAGACCACACTCAAGGTATCTGTCACCTAAAGCTACAGGGCCAAATCTTTAATTCTGGACCAATGAGTACCCCTCCTGGCTTTCTATCGCTGTGTATCAGGGAGGGCCCTAACAGACCCCTCGGTGTCAGACTAGCAAACGGTGGTGCCCAGGAGGAGCGGTTTACCTTGCCCCACGGCACTGTAGGAGGCATAACCTCCAAGACTCACAGCAACACACGGCCCCGACGGCGCGGCGGTTCCGGGCCCCTGCTCGCACTGCGCACCCTGCACACCCCAACTCTGGGGCGCCCAAAGGGCCACCCCTCCCCCTCTCTGCCTGGCTCCTACGCCATCGCTCTTCCAGAAGCTTGCAGCGCTTGCCCGGGATCACACCCGCCCCACCCCACCCCCAACCTGCCCCACAGAGGGAGGGAGACACTGGGCTGCAGAATTTAACCATTCCTAAGTGGAGTGATTGAGACCCTCTCCATGGCCTCAGGAGACCAAGTGCCCCAGCCTCGGTTCGCTGGACGCCATACCCGGGCGCCCTTAAGTCGCTCCCCAGCGCCGTGCGCGCCCGGGGGCGGGGCCTATTCCAGCCCCCGACCCCTGCGCCCCTATATCAACCTGGAAGGGGAGCGGTTGCGGGGCGCGGCCCGGGCCCCCGCGGCGCCGGGCAGCGGAGAGAGGGGGCCAAGGTAGTTGGCTCCCGTCGGCCCTAACCCTGCCCGGTCCGCCCCGGGGCCAACCTGACTGCGATGGCGCCGTGTCCGCCAGGCCGGGCTCATCACCGTGGCCGCCCCGGCCACTCGGGTTTCGCCCTCCTCCAGCTCCGGCTCCAGCTCCTGCCCCGGCCCCCCCAGCGCCCGGCCCCGGCCCAGCCCCGCCGCCGCCGCCGCCGCCACTGACATCATCGGCTCCCCCCCCTCGCCCCGGTCCTCCCCCCACCCCCACCCCCGGAAACAGTCCCCCCCCAGCGCCGCTGCTGCTGCCGAGAGGAAGCCAGCGCCGCGCAGCCGACACCGACCCTGGGCTCTGGTGTCCGATGGCCTTGGCCCGGTGGATCCCATACAGGGAACAAACGACAAACGACGCTGGGTGGACACCTTGCCGGGGCGGTGGCCGGGCTGTACTGGCCTTGACCACTCACTCCCTGAGAAGGGACTCACCCCCACGCCCGCCCTTCCCTCTGCACATTCTTCACTCAGGGGTGCACATTGCCTAGAGCTTGCTGCGTGTGCACATTTGCTCACCACCAACACGCACACCGTACACGTTCTCCCGGGTCGCAAACATACAACACGGTAGACTCACAATTGGGCCCAAAGGAACCTATAGACCCAGAGTCAGCATCCTCAGAGGGCAATAGCCCTGGGGCACCCCTTTAGGAATGCCTACGGACTTTCATCAGACCCACAGGCAAGAAAGGCCCTAATGTGGCATAATGGGAGCCTTACATGAATGATCACTAGTGCAGATAAACACAAAGCTTGGAATTTGATCTTAACCAGTGGAAATACCCACTTCTGGGTCCTTGCATATAAACGCAGGTCTTGGTGTTGGGTCTCCTGCACTAGCTGCACAGCATAAGCATAAGAAATGTAAGAAGCATAATACACTCCACACAAGAAATATATTCCTGAACTGTCAATGGACATAATACACTCCACACAAGAAACATATTCCTGAACTGTCAGTGGACATAATACACTACACACAAGAAACATATTCCTGAACTGTCAACGGGACAATCCTACCGATTCCTCCCTGGTGTCGCAAAATTTAAAACTCTGGAGAGGTCTGACATGATGCTACTAGGAGGCCAACCTGGTTTAAGCAGCAAGTTCTGGGTCAGCCAGGGCTATGTAATGAGAGCCCCATCTCAAAAAAAAAAAAAAAAAAAAAAAAAAACCAGAACAACCCCACCTTAAACAAAAACAAAAAACCATCAGGAGACAAAGGCGCAAACTCTCAGAATTCTCCCTGTGGAACATGGTGGCTCCGGTATTAAGGTAGCAGAGACAAGACGATCACTGCAAGCTCAAGGTGTAGCAAATTCCAAGTCCCTCAGACCTATACAAGCTGTACGGCAACCCTTTCTCTAAACAACAGAAGCAACGAAACAAACAAACCCACCCCAACACCCCTTCAAACGTTTGTGAAGCTAAGCTTGGTGCCCCCATGCCTATAATCCCAAGCACTCTGGGAGAGGAGAGCGTGAGACCAGATTTCAAGGCCAGATTCCACAGAGTACTAGTGAGTTTGAGACCAGCCTGGGCAAGACCTCGGATCAAAAAAGCAGGAACTGAGGGTTAGAGAAATTGCTCAGTGGTTAAGAGAGGGTAGTGCTCTTGCAGACAATCCAAGAGTTCGATTCCCAATGTCTAAGTCAGGCCGTTCATACTGTCCTGTAACTCCAGCTCCAGGGGATAGGATATCTCCGGCCTCTGCAGGCACCAGCATTCATGCACATCCTGTTACACTGATGCACTCACACACAGTTAAAAATAAAATACAGCTTGGGTCTGGAAAGATGGTTCACACTGTGCACTCACGTGCACGTACCCACACAGGCTCTTTTTCTTTCTTCCCTTTTCTTCCCCCCACCCCCCCCAAGGTCTCCCTGTGTAGCTCTTGCTGGCCTGGAACTCATTCTATCACTCTGTAGATCAGGTTGGCCTGAAACTCACAAAGCTCTTCTTCTGCTCCCCAAATGCTGGGATTTGAGGTATGGGCCATCACGCCTGCCCATACACTAACTTTTTTCAAAAAAGAAACTGAGACTATAAAGATGGTTCAGTGGTTAAGAGCACTGACTGCTTGTCCAGGTCCAATTCTCAGAACTCACATGGCGGCTTACAAACATCTGTAATTCATTTCGAGGGATATGCCCCCTTTTCTGACCTCCAAGGGCACCAAACACACATATGGCACACAGATATACATGCGGACAAAACACCCATGCACACAAAATAAAACTAAAAAAATAGGCATAAAGGCCGGGTGTTGGTGGTGCATGCCTTTAGTCCCAGCACTCCAGAGGCAGAGGCAAGCGAATCTTTGTGAGTTCGAGGCCAGTCTGGTCTACAGAATGAGTTCTATGATAGCCAACGCTACACAGAGAAACCTGTCTCTAAAAACCAATAATAATAATAATAATAATAATAATAATAATAATAATAAAGAAACAAGAGAGAGCCGGGGAGATAGATAGCTCACCTGATAAAGTGCTATTAAACAAACATGAAATAAAGACCTGGACTCAAGAAAAAAGCTGGAAAGATGGCTCGGAGTTTAAAATCTATAAGCCCCACATAAAGCCAGACATAGTATTGGCTTTTCTAAACCCAGCTCCCCTCCAATGTTGAGATGGAAGGCAGAGTCGATAGGATCCCCAGGAGCTCTCAGGCCAGCAATTCTGACATTTGCTGAAGCACACAGCAAGACTCAGACTAGGCAGAAGGTAAGGACAGATACCTGAGCTGTTCTCTGACCTCTGCACGCTCACCAGAACGAGAGAGAGAGAAGCCAAGCATGCAATGCTCAAAATCATGAAGTGGGGGAGATGGAGGCACGTGGATCCCTGGGTTTTTTTGTCCAGTGAGCGTAATCTACTAGGCAAGTTTTGGTCAACGAAGAGACCCTGTTTTAAAAAAAAATTGAGAGGCAGAAAGAACCTGAAGAAAAATACCCGATGTCACCCTCTATGTGTCATGAATGGACATGAACACACAAACACGTACAGAAACAAAAAAAAAATACAACCCTTATAAAATGAGGCAAAACATTAACCAAAAGCAGTTTTATTACAGAACTGAGAGAGAGAGAGAAGGAAGGAAGGCGAGAGAGAATGAGAATGAACCTGGAGTCATAGCAACAAGGATAGAAAACAAGCCTGGGACAGTGGTGTACACCTGTGATCTGCCCGGACAACACAGCAAATTCCAGAACAGCCTGGCCTACAGAAAGAGCTTGTCTAGTTCCCCCTTACCTCCCAAACTCACACCAAACCAAAACCACAAACCAACCCACAAAATAAACAGTAACAACAGACCAGAGTTGGAATTTATGAGAAAACAGTCCCTCCCCACCCCCTCAGGAAGGTTCCAGGGAAGAACCTTATCCCCACTCCAGCCAAGTCACAATGGCTGGAGCTCTGAAGGGGACCCCAGGAGGAGAGGAGGAAGTCCGAAAAGAGACGGTGAGTATCGGGACAAAGGGGCAACGGTCAGCATCCTCCTCTAAACTTCCCAGTGGTCCTGGAGACGCCTACAAGTGAAATTCATAATGATATACCCAGAAGTCCTGGGAGCCTGTGACATCATATGGATACATAACATTTGTAGCTAACTCCCTTTCCTCAAACGAACAGAGTATCCCCGGGTCCTCTGTTTTCTCCCTGGAACATGATGCTCCCAGAGAGACAGGATGCTGCAAGACTTCCCCCACCTGCTTCCTGCTTTACATGCTCAAGGCCCACATTGTACCACCTCGTCCATCCTTAGGCCCTTTCTAGCTCCCATGAGCTCCCATGAGGGTCCACGATCTCAACCTGGCACTCACCTTACCCCAAGTTGCCCAGGCTGTGGTTGCCCTCATGTCCAAGCTCCTTTCTTCCTAACAGGATGCCAGCCATCCCTATTTCAACTTACCTGACTTCACCCAGCCATCACCGCCCTCCACTCCAGTCAGCTTCCTCTGGAACTCTCACCATCGCTGCGGGCCCTCTGATGCCACCAAGGGCCTGTTTGTGGCCCTGCTGGGTGGAGGCCTGTCTGCTGGCTTCGTGGGCCCATTTTCCCGTATGGCTTACCAGACCTCCCACTTGCCCTCGTTGGAGCTGCTCATCTTTCGATGCCTCTTCCACCTCCCCATTGCCTTGTTACTTAAGTTTCGTGGTGATCCGCTGCTAGGACCTCCTGATGTCCGGGTCCGGGCCTTCCTTCACGCCATGCTCAACGTCCTCAGCATCGGATGTGCTTACAGCGCGGTGCAGGTGGTGCCTGCTGGCAACGCAGTCACTGTTCGCAAAGGCTCTTCCACCGTGTGCTCTGCCCTCCTAGCACTCTGCCTGGAGAGCCAAGGTCTCAATGGCTACGCCTGGTGTGGCCTGTTCGGCAGCACCCTTGGACTAATCATCATCGTGGGACCTGGACTAGGCACATTGCAAGAGGGGACGACAGGCCTCTACACAGCCCTGGGCTACGTACTGGCTTTCCTGGGAGGTCTGGCACTGTCACTGGGGCTACAGGTTTACCGCTCTCTACACTTCCCCTCCTGCCTACCAACAGTGGCCTTCCTATTTGGCCTGGTGGGGTTAATGGTCTCTGTACCAGGCCTCTTTGTGCTGCAGACACCTGTGCTACCCCAAGACCCTCTGAGCTGGAGCTGCGTGGTGGCAGTGGGGCTCCTTGCGTTGGTTTCCTTTGTGTGTGTGAGCTATGCAGTCACCAAGGCCCACCCTGCCCTGGTATGTGCTGTCCTGCACTCTGAGGTGGTGGTGGCCCTGATGTTGCAGTACTACGTGCTCTATGAGACCGTGACACCTTCTGACATCATGGGAGCGGGGGTTGTGCTGGGCAGCATTGCCATCATCACTGTCCAGAACCTCAGCTGTGAGAAGGACAGCTGTGAGAAGGACGGGCAGATGGAGGAGTGAAATCAGACTTGAGAGCCTGGGGGAGGGTGGGACAGGGGCAAATAGAAGGAGAGACCGGAATAAAAATCATGGAAGAACTAAACGTCTCCAAAAGAATTGGTGTGGAGCCAGGGAGATGGCTCAGCAGGCACAGGCTAGGGCTAGGAAGCCTGACAAGTCGCTCGTGGGAGAGGAAGAGAGCCGACTTCTACAAATGATTCTTACCACAGGCGCGCTGTGGTATGCTCACACACAATAAAAATGTATAAACAAACAAAACCCGAAAGGGATGCCCTGGGATTCAAGGGTGGCTTGAGACTCGATGGAGAGGGAACACCTGAGGTACAGGAAGCCAGCAGGGCATGGAATTTAGGCTGGGGTCAAGGGATAAGGACATAGTTAAGCAGTGAGGTCTCAGATCCAAGGGACGACTGGTAGTGGTCTATGGTGAATAATCCCACAAACAGGAAAGAGCGTTAGGAATGAAGTGCGCAGGTTGTCAGGCAAACAGCCAGCTACGGCTCTGGGGCCCTGGGGGAGGGGAGGGTTCCTTTTCCCTTGGGCTCCCTGTCCGGGTGGTGACGTAATACTGACATCAAACGCGGATCACTGTGGCCGTGCAGTTGGTATCGTCTCTGCACTGGAGAAAGTGGAAACACGCCCTTATTGGAGACTCCTTGAGACCATCAGCCGCCTCCTTATTTCTGAAAGGAGAATTTCCTAAAAGCTCATATTCCTTTTTGACCTCAAACTCCCCAGGATTTTTCATTTTCTGCCCCGCCACTAATCTGCTTTTCTCGGACAGACAGACGCGGTCGCGTGATCTGCGGCTCTCGGGTGGCAGCCATCCTTACTTCCAGAACAGGCCTTTAGCTTTCCAGCTGGAGATCCGAGGCCAGGGCTCCGTGCAGCTCTCCATTAGAGGACAGGAGGTGCCACCCCACCCCGGGAGGCCTCACGACAAGTCTCAGTTTCCAATCGCTAGGACTCGCCATCTTGTTTGTCTTGTGCATAATCCAGCGAAAAACTGAATATTCATGACCGAGGGCCGGCCCGTCCCTCCCTCCCTCCCTCCCCGGAACACACTCCGGAGGCCTCGACAGGCCCCGCCTTCATTGCCGACGCGTCGAGCAAACCATTTCCCAGGTGTGTGTGGGGCGACGTTAATGAGGCACTTAGGCTGCAAAGGGGCCTTTACTCCAAAGCCGAGTAAAGGTGGCCTTACTCTGTCCTCGATTCTGCGAGGCCTAAGCTTGAGTGCCCGGGAAATCGGCGGGGAGGGAGGCGACAGGATCGGAAAAATTCTCCTCCTCCTGTCACGTCAAAAGAACACCCAACCAGGGAGCCCGAGCCCGAGGGTCAACAACTCCGGCGCGCGCGCTCCGTGCGGGCCGGTGCGGGCGGCCCCGTAGCGCAAGGGAGGGCGGGAAAGGAAGGGGCGGGACACAGGGGCGAGTCTATAAAAGGCGTCATTCAGCCTGTTCTCTCCTCAGAAGCGCCGAGAGCGCGGCCGGGACGGTTGGAGAAGAAGGTGGCTCCCGGAAGGGGAGCGACAAACTGCTGTAACCTCTGCCTTTCAGGATCCCGGTTTCTTATTTATTCGTTACCCCTTTTCTTCTTTCTCCTTCCCAAAACCTCCTCCTCTCCTCCCTTCTTTTGTTTCCTTTTTGGGAGCCGACAACTCTCCGGAAAGGGAGAAAAGGCTTTCTTTCTGCCCTTCTCCTCCCCGCCTCTTCCCCTCCCCCTCCTTCCCCTCCCCCGGCTTTTTCCTCCCTACTCCGGGAGATCTTTCCCGGTGGCCGCCCGGACGGGGTCTGAGCGCTTAGGCGGCGGTGGCGCAGGCTTTTTGTAGCGAGATTTGCGCCTGCGCAACGCGACTGCCTCGCCATGCACGGAGGTGGCCCCCCCTCCGGGGACAGCGCATGCCCGCTGCGCACCATCAAGAGAGTGCAGTTCGGAGTCCTGAGTCCAGATGAGTTGGTAAGTTGTTCTGCCCTTCCCTTTCTCGTGAGCCTGGTGGAAGGATGGGCCAATGACGCTGATGCCGTGTGGGGTCCAACCTTCAGGTTCCTAAAATTAAATTATGCCAGGATTTAAACAATTTAGTGCAATGTCTGTGATGGGTGTTTGGCTGGACAGAGAAAATGATTTCGTACTTTAGAATTGCCGCGTTTTAACGAGAAAAGAGTCCAGAATCGGGTTGAAAGTTTGGAGCCGGGCTGTGGTGGCTCACACCTTTAATCCCAGCACTCAGGAGCAGAGGCAGGTGGATCTCTGTGAGTTCGAGGCCAGCCTGGTCTACCAGAGCTACAGAGAAACCCTATCTCGAAAAACAAAAAGAAAAAAAGAAAGTTTGGATAGAAAGTGGATTCTCAAGTTGTTTTTCTTACCCCTTCCACAAATATTGAGCACTCTGGTCTGTGACAGTCCCCAGGCACTGGAACACACAGCTGAACATATGACAAGAGAAGGACCCTATCTTCTAGAACATTTTCTGTGGGAAAACAACAGAGAAGACAAAATAAGAATTAAAAGAATGACCAAAAATAGTTAAGTGCCTAGAATAAAGTGAAACAAGGAATTTCTGTAAAAAGTACTGAAATTGAATGGTGTCAGAAAAGGTGGCATTACCACAGTAGTGAAGAGTGTTGGTCACTGAAGCCATGGGTTCAGGGGGAAGGGCTTATTTTTAGGTAGAGGAAACGAATGTTATGGAACTGAGGGAGAAATAAAATTGTATCCTAGAGACTGAAAAGCCAGTGTTGGGGCAAAGGTTAGTGGATGAGAAGCGTGTTTCAAAGCATGCTGAAGAAGCTTGGGATATTTTAAAGTATGCTAGAGTCAGAATTTCTGTTCCAGTAGGAAGCCATTGGATAATTATAAAAGAATGACAGCGGTTTTTGTGTAGATAACACGTACAGTAGTTGTGTACAGAGCTGATGGGAAGCGGATGAAGATAGACATAGCCGTGTCCACAGAGGGACAGCTGCTTTTGCAGACGTGAGCGTCTTCCTGCTGAACAACTAACAGGAGAGAATAGAACTAAATGGTTGTGTTGGGGAAAGGGCTCAACTGTGACAGAACTAACAAAAACAAGAAAAAAAACCTGCATTGGCTCTTGGAACACCCAGACCACAGAGTAAATTCCAGGTCAATATTTAAGCAAAGTAATAAGACATCAAAAAAAAAAAAGATTTTTAGGGGAGCTGCTACCAGAGAATGAACACTACATTAATAAGTAAAATAAAGGCAGACCTTATGGTGAGCTGATAAGCTAAGTGTTGTACATGAAAGAGAAAGGCAGATACGAGCCACTCTGTTTATCAGAGACTCTTAACAGAGCTTAAAAACAGACAAAACTGGGAAACAATTTGCAATGTGATGGGCAGGGTTTGATTTCTCCGTTTTTCCTGGGGCTTAGAGTCAGCCTTTCTTGTCATGCTAGGCCAGTGCTCTGACCATTTAGCTACATGTGTCCCCAGCTCTTGCTGTTGAGTCCGGGCCGCCTTGGCAAGGTGGTTCTCCTGCCTTAGCTTTCTGGGTACTCAGAGGATAGGCGTACACCACCATACCTGGTTTGGGTAGGTTTTTCCCCACAATTAAAGAAAAAAATTTAGACTGGGTGAAAAAAATGTCTTGAGCAGTTAGGAGTGTTTGTTTGTTTGTTGCTCTTGTAGGAGGACCCCAGTAGTGGCTCACAAGCTCGTAACTCTAGTTGTAGCGGACCTCATACCTTCTCCTAGCCTGTGGGCACTGTATGCACTTCATATGCAGGCAAAACGCTAATACAGATACAATTTTTTAAAAATAATTTTTGTTGTTATTTTCTTTTTTTGAGACAGGGTTTCTCTGTAGCTTTGGAACACATCCTGGTACTAGCTCTTGTAGTCCAGGCTGGCTTCGAACTCAGAGATCCACTTACCTCTGCCTCCTGAATGCTGGGATTAAAGGTGTGCGCTTATCTTTACTGCCGTACCTACCCATTGACCACTGACCTGCAGAAGCCCTACCTCAGTCTTCCCGCAGTTTTTATATATACAATATTATATTATATATACAATATTCTGCCTGTTTGTATGCCTGCAGGCCAGAAGAGGGCACCAGACCTCATTACAGATGGTTGTGAACCACCATGTGGTTGCTGGGAATTGAACTCAGGACCTTTGGAAGAGCAGGCAATGCTCTTAACCACTGAGCCATCTCTCCAGCCCATTCCCGCAGTTGTTGAACAAGCTAGTGAGATCTTTTCATCATGTCCCTTTCCTTAATGGAGTTTTTTCAGGAGGATCCAGACTCCTAGTCTCACCTTTAGATTATGTCGTTGCTTGCTTCTCTATCTTCTTACCAGTCTCCTGGTAAATTAAATTTTTAGGAATATTTTTTAGATTTGTTTATGTTATGTGTATGATTGTTTGCCAGCATGCATACATGTACACCATTTGTGTACCTGGTGCCTGGGAAAGTCAGAGAGGACATTGGATCTCCGGGAACTGGAGCTATCATGTGGGTGCTGGGAACCAAACCTTGGTCCTCTGCAAGAGTAACAAGTGCTCTTAGCCACTCTGCCGTCTCTCTAGTCCCTTTCCTTTCCTTTTGTCACTTGACCTGCTTAACACTGCAAGCTTATTGCTTCAGGGGCTGTTTAACCATTGTCTCTGCTGCTTGAAATAACGTTGTCCAGCCCTCTTACATGCCTTATTCTTCATGTCAGTATGTTCTGTGTTTCGATGTTTACCCTGACTATTTAAATAGCATCCTTCATTCTGTAACCCTTAGACTGTTTTACTTTAATAAACTGTCACTTTTTTTTTTTTTTTCGAGACAGGGTTTCTCTGTAGCTTTGGAGCCTGTCCTGGAACTAGCTCTTGTAGACCAGGCTGGTCTCGAACTCACAGAGATCCACCTGCCTCTGCCTCCCGAGTGCTGGGATTAAAGGCGTGCGCCACCACCGCCCGGCAAGACTGTCACTCTTGGAAGATTTTTTTTTTTTAACTTTTTGTTCACTGTTGAATGCTGTTACCCAGCATTTTCAGTAGTTCCTGCTGCTGACTGGCATGTCATTAAAATTATCTGGGTAAAAAAGTGAATAGTTGTATAGATTACATTTCAAAGGATTATTTATTTTAACATTTGAAAATGACAATTGTAATTTAAATATTTCATATAAATATTTACTAAAAGGAACCCTTCTTGAATAA